TTGATTAGTGACTCGGATAATATCTAGAAACACTGAAATCGGTATCATTAATAATCAGTCACGAAGCATCAACCACTTGAGAAATCACAAAACTCGAGATGGATACTGTAGTGAATGAAAACATAAGTGAGGACAGTCGACTGTATTTGAATACAAAATTACAGAAAATCTTAGTAAGATCTGAGAACCATAGAGTGAACAAATCCTTCATTTGCAAAATATTCATTAATTGTCTTAGACCTCAATGTTCCTTTCGTTTCCACACCAACTGTATAATCCATCTTGAATGTTTCGTGTGAAAATTCCTCCATGCATACATCCATAGCCTCTTCATAATGTTCCAGTTGTTTGTACATTATTGTTAGTATTTCCGATGCCATTTTGTATTGTGGTGTTTCATTTCATGATAGCTTTCTCAGTTTCTTCTGTTGCTTTCATTGGGTTTCTATATTCTTCTTGCACTGTATAATTTGTTTTAATTGATATTATTCTGGCGGCTGCCATATTGACTGCTCGCTCTTCGATTGCGCGGTTGATTTTGACTGGGATCGTGTATTTTGGTTGTAAATTGGAACACTTTCCCAGAAATTGAAACACTTTGTGTCACAGAACAGCCGCTCAAACGGAATCTTACTTGATTTATCCAGAAAGGATGGAATAACACTTACCTTTTGGTGTTTTCGGTAATTTTCATATATTTCTTACCACTTTTCTATTCATTGCAATTTAGATTGAATATTTTGGTATCAATTGTTGGTTGAAAAACTGGGTGATAATATTTGTTTAGGTAAATGTGTACATTTGTATATATGATGAATTTTAGAACCGTTATTACCCCAATCGCTTTGTTCTGATTTCGACTGGGGTTTGTGAGTTTCTTCACTTTTACTAACCAGTTGTTCATCACCCCTAACCTAGTTGGAAATTAGGTTTGGATCTTACACCAACCATTCTTTGTTCGCGTTATCTTTCCTTCGATCTTTTTTGCCTTCCTCCTCCAGACATTTAACTTTCGATTGGTGATGGATACTAATTATATCTGTCGACATTAGTAGCACATATCACAATACACGACATACTGATAAACAGTATGACGGTTTTATGAAGATTTATTTAAAACACTGACAGATCTCAAAAGCCAAAAAACAAAAGTAATATATCAACCATATATAGTTAAGATTTGGATGGTACCAACGTTAAACACAGCAGTAGTATGAGTATTAAAAGGACTGATGTATAACATTTATATCACTGAATCAAGTACTTATGACAACCAGAACTTGAAAATCTACAGCATAGTCAACTCATCACCATTTTATCATAATGAAAATTCAAAAAGAATATGTTTTGGTCCAAGTTAAATGACACTAACAATTTGAACTATATAAATATAGACAGTGTATTCTAGGACGTAGGAGTCTTTCAGTACTTCCAGGTTTTAAATCGTAGTCTAGCTTACGTTGGTACATGATTTCAATGACATAGAAACGTAGTTGAAATACATATATCTAGATCGATTAAAGAACTAAACACTCCTATGATGCTATAACTTAAACGAAACAGTACCATTTAGAATAGGGTTGCACTTTTTTCTTAACAGGTCCGTTTGAACTGAAACGCAACTTCAGCTGATCAGATTTTGGTCCACTTTGTTGACTGTCTCAAATGCTTATACATTTGTATTTACGTTATATCAAAAATAATTTAATTATGTCTATTAGGATATATATATATATTATTTTCATAGTTGAAATCATGAGTCAATTGAAGCTAGACCACCATGTAAGTGCTCTGGCGCGAGACTGGTAGATCCTGGGTTCGAATCTCGCGAAGCGGGATCGTGGATGTGCACTGCTGAGGAGTCCCATAATGGGACAAAATGGCTGTCTAGTGCTTTCCATAGTGGTCTAGCTTCAATTGACTCATGATTTCAACTATGAAAATACTGAAATCTTCACGAAAACCCCTTCTGGATATATATTATTCATTCATCTGGTATTATGACCAGAGATTATAAAAATATGTAGATTTGTGTGCTCTATAAATTATGTAACAAAGTTAAGTGGCTTAGGAGAAGAAACAACGATTATTTAGAAGTGAACTTTTAAAGTTTATGTTCAAATGATAACAAAAACGATTAATTAAATCAGAAAGCTTATCAACAAATCACGAACGGATTAGATTAAAAGTTGATTAGAGTAAATGTTAAGTAACATATTATCAAACGGAAACGGACCATTTTGAAGAGATGATGATGACAATAGTGAATAATAAGAGAATATATGACACGTTAGACTGAATTCATGAACATAAGAATGACCATCATTTGCATTTGTACATAATCCTACAAATTCACAGGTGAAACGAAGTAAATAATTTCTCTTAAGTTGATAAATTACGACAAAAACTGAAACCCTCATCTACAGCTTCATAAAGATCATTTGTCAAGTATTCACTAATTGAATAAAACAATACATTCGCTAGGTACAGATTTATGTATTTGGTTTAAAGTCTCAGTTAGCTTCTGAGACATAATGATTGGTAAATGAAAAGGGCTTCGAATAAACACGACTAGCAACATCCCAAATACAAATGACTTGTTAGATTTCGAAAAAAATCTGCAATACAATAAACAATTACAAGCTATCCACAAAATATGCCTGGTGTCAATTAATTCCCTCTAATCATGATGATAGACTGGAAGTCAATTAAAAGACCTTTCTGACGTTTCATTGTCTTCACTTACTTCACTATAACAAATGCTCAACTAAAAGCAGATGTGGTGAATTGTCTAACTCCTCCTTGAACATCTGAGCGACGTGTTCCTACCATCTAGATGTTTTAAACACTTAACTAATTTTGTTTGTTTTAATACATCATTACGGTTATTAATCACAAAGCCTATTCAGGTGTGTTTCTAAAAAGTGTATAACATTTTGTCGTACAAATTACAAAAGTCCTAATCAGAGATATCGTAATTGCTAGCAATATGCAGAGAAAAGAATGCATATTATTCAGATTGCGATTCGTGGGCTGTTAACTTCTAACTGGTGATCGCTCAATATTTATCGTCAGGATCGATGAAGAAGTAGAAAACGGGAACTTTCTGAAATACATTATGCTGAGAATTCTATATTGTACTAATAATATAATATTGAATAAAGCTGACAGTAATAATCATAATCAAGTTGATAACCATTTACATTGACTACCAATAAGTGTGGAAGTAAATATACAAATACATCAGCACCACAATATTAGGACATCTGACTGACATTTGAGTCAGTAATCTAGATGATTTAGAATAAACCAATTATATGAATACGCAATATCATTCACTGATTTTACTGGCGACAAACAAATTTTTGAGAGCTTATTAGCAATTTGGTCTGGTAATATTTATCCATATAATGTACATTATATCCTCCGGATAGTCTTTCCATTAGGATGCTGCGTAACTAACTAATCTAATTTCAAAACAGTCATTTGTTAAAATCAACAGCACAGTTGAGAAATCCATACATCAAAACCTTTCATTTCACCAAATAAACAAAAATATCATAAAATGTACAGTAGAAGCCTGAGATTTCACTTTCTTCATAACTTATATGTAGTCATACCAAAACTATTTCGTTCAGAAATGCCATGATACAAATCAATACAAAACAAACGCTTTAAATCGTTGATTATAGCATTTTACACATAAGATATCCAAACACATTCAAATATTGTACCGCATATACATACACATATGAACAGACAAATCAAACTAAATAACGTTGAACGGATTGTCAATATTCACAATTGATTGATCACTGGGTGGTGATCAATGTCATGCATGTCAAGTCCTTCTTAGTGCTGATCGAATGCTAGGGAATGCCAGGAAGCATCAGTCCCCTCAAGATTACAGGTACACCTTGCTGACGAGTGCCAAGTAGCACGAAACCCGGGTCCAGGGTTTCCTGTTGACCATCTCCAACCATCATCTTATCTCAACATAGTGTCAAGCCACCTAGACTAGTAGCCACATTGTAACTTGGTCGATAGCATTCGATCAGCACTAAGAAGGACTTGACATGCATGACATTGATCACCACCCAGTGATCAATCAATTGTGATTACATCTCAGTCCTACAGGAGGCCGGTCGCGGCCCGAGTAGCTCAGTGGTAACGTCTCTGACTGGATTGTCAATATATTTACAAAATAATAATTACCACTAACATGATAATGATTATTTGCCCAACCATAATACTGTAGAATCAGTTACAACTGTGTATTACTTTGAGTTGACAACACATTCAAATTAATTTTTATTTACTTATTTGAACAGAAATATTGCTACGAAGGTGCACCATATACATATGCGCCCCAAAAATCATTTGATTTATGTGAAGACTGGGATACTGCCCGGTTGCCAAAACCAGAGCAGGTGGTTTTCTTAGAGGGCCACACCCTGATCCTTTGACTTAGAAGTCTAATACACAAGGCAGTGGGTTAACGTTGGGAAGTGTAGCCTAATGGTAGCCGGTGACCGAGAATAAGTTCAGATATCATTTGTTCCCTCAGGATACTGGAGCTAATATGGACCATTGATTTCGAATCAGGGTTTACCAAGTCCCCTGGGTGAATTCTCCTTTACAACCAACCCGGTTAAAGCACCGGTTTTCGTTCTCTCAATTCCGTAAAGAAAACCCTCGCCACGAGAAGTCGGTAAGTAGGACTTCCCTGTCAGTGACCGTATACACGTGATCATGTTAGAGCATTTCGAGGAGGACGGGAGTCCGCCCTCCTCGGCCGTATAAGGGCATAAATCAAATGTTCAACAAATTCTTTAATAAAAGTGATATGTAATATGCAAATTTAAAGCCGAAAAGACTGATTGAATCGAGTCAGATTTTATTTAATAATAAAAAGCAGCACACCAAGAGAGTTTGTTTAAAAGTATGATGAAATTAAGTCTTCCAGTTCAATTACGTTCCATTCATTGAATCTTCAATACGCATCTTTGAATGGATATTCGGGATGATTAGCCATTCTAGAAAAGAAAAGATGTACGACGCCAAATATTTATTTACTGAACTAACTAGAAAAGCCTAATTCATTATAGTCACTTTAAAGTATTTCATAAGATATGAGAAAAATAACATAATGATATCATTTTAACAGAATTATAAACGACCATTTCAGCTTACAAAGATAAGCAAACTATAAAAAAACCTACGGGAAATCACCTGTTCCTCGTACCAAATCTGTGTTTAGATTTTAGCAAGAAGTCAGAAATCTTTTAAAAGACTTATGTTTTCAAAAGTACTACAATTAGTGAAGGTACAGGGAATAATGAAGAAGAAATGTTGTGTAATCTTATCTTTCCGTCTTTTTACTTCTGAATTTAATCGGTCAAAGTGTTGAGTCGGCTTCCGGAGAACTCTAACAGAGCCTCCAGAGGCTCATAAAGAGCCCCAGCCAATCAGAATACGACGGAACATTATAGAGTTCCAACGTGGCGTGTTACTATTGGTCGGTATCATAATATGTCGTTAATGGATTGGCTAACATCTATAAATACCTATGATTTTCTGTAACAAAATTGAACCTTTTAGTAAAGTGCTTCCCAAACACTGTGCCTTTTCTCTGGCCTTCAAGTCGGTGTATAGTTCTAGCTCGGGGGTTACGGAACTAGCTTAGGGAAGCGAATATAGCTTTCAAAATCGGCCAGATATAACACAAAGGAAAAAGGATGATAGTGCAGATAACAAAAAGGAAAGTGATGGTGGGAGTCCAATATGAACAAGAAACTTTCCAGTGTTGTTAGAGGGACAAGGACGGTTGTCACGTCCTAGTTGCCCACACCATGAAAGGATATATTTTTTGAGGAGCTTGAAGAAAATGGATTAGCAGTGATCGTACCGAGTTGAGAGCGTGAACGCCGGTTATAAGTGATAAGTGCTTAAGGCCAGTCACACATGATCTTACCTTGAGGTTTGTAATGTCTTAACTCTGTGATTTAAAAGACCAACCTTTTAAAATTCTTTCCTGTGGTGCCGTATACCTTGTTTATTTAGGAGAAACACTTTACTGCTCTCACAATTCTGTACCGTTAGCAGACCAATTCAGACTCAGTTGCTACTTTGCCTTAATGTCTTCCAATCGATCTGCTTGGGAAAGTAGGACCTAATAGTAAAATAGTTACAGTTAGTATGGCTCGACTGGGTTATTAGAATGAGCAAGCATGATAGCCACATTAAGGGAGCAGCTACGGTGAAGAATGTGAAAAATGTTATAACCAATAGGGAGATTTCGAAAGGCTACATTAAACAATTTATTCGCTTAAATTGTTAACGTCGGTTCATATTTAAAAAGGTTAAAGAATGATCAAAGAAACAAGAAATCGAAAAAAACGAGTAAACGTTGATAGTGTGTAGACTAGTTTTACTGGAAGTGTACGGATGACTGACATAACCTGCCACCTCTTACTATGAAGGGCCAATTATTCCTAGGAAACATGGAAAAGAGACTACAGTAATGGCGATGGCCTCATTATTTATTTATTTAAACACATAAATACTGGTGCGAAAAAGAACCAGATACATATGCGCCACACAAATCTCATTAGATTTGTATGAGGGCTGTGATACTGCCCAAACTGAAGCATGTGGTTTTCTTAGGGGGCCACACCCGGAGCCTTTGACCTAAAGGTCTAATCCACAAGGCAGTGGATTAACGTTAGGAGGTGCAGTAACATGGTAGCCGGTGACCAACAATTGGTTCATACGCCATTTGTTTCTTCAGGATACTGGAGCCTATGTACACCATTGGTTTGGAATCAGGGTTTTCCAACTCCCGTAGGTGGACACTCCACATCCACCAACTCGGTTAAAGCCGCTGCCGGACATTCGCTTTTCGTCCTCTCACTTTTGTGAACAACACCCCTGCCACGAGAAGGCAGTGAGTAGGACCTCCTGACAGAGGCTGTATACGCGTGGCCATGTGAGAGCATTTGGAGGGGGAGAGCGGACTCTCCCCACTGTCGGTCGTACCAGGGCATTTGGGGGCTATTTCTGATTAAAGACCACAAAATTAACGTTTAGAAGCCAGGCAGTAAATAACAAATTTACAGATAATAACAACTAAAAATAATCTAAAGTGAAACCATAAAATATGAACTTTTACAAATATTCGAATACTACCAATATAAACTTACTTCAACAATTTGAATTGACGTTCATTCACACCTTTTGTGTTCAATTCATGCATTTCCTCTTTTGAAAGTTGGAAATCAAATACCTTCAATAAACAACAAAATGAACAAACTATACTACTTATTAAGATATTTAAGCAAACTTTAACAGCCTAGTCACTTGGTTTATAAACAATTAAGTTACATATTCACAGTCAAATTGTCACCTTTATTTAAAGAATTTAAATAGTAATATCATTAGATGATAAATGAATAGATATATAATCACACTGATAAATGAACCGGATTAATATTGAATAGTATTGTGAAGCTATACAAAAATCACATTCTCTGGAGGTATGTTCCAAAACACTCAGTAGTAAATATTGTAAAACTTTAAGTACTATTGAGAGTCCGTCAGTTAATCAGCTACAACGTTGCTGCTACCTTGACGTGGTGGTCGAGCTTGCCTATCGTGATGAACCAATCGAGCTAAACTGGCTGGAACAATCGTTCCTCAAGGTCCTACCATGCCAGGCAGATCGGTTGAAGAGCGGTAAGACTAAAAGCAACAAACCCAAGGTCTGAAGGCGAAGTCGTACTGCTGACTGTACAGAGGTGACAGCAGTAAGGTGTTTCCTTCAGACAACCAGCACAACAGCGATGCTGCCTTCCCATAAGGAGGGGTGGGGTTAGAAAAGGTCGACCTTAAAAATGCACACCTCGCCTTATCCTATGGATAGCCGTCTCCGGCGGTAAGGTCCCAACAAGTATGGAGCTAACACAAAAAGGTCGTGTGTGACAGACCTCAAGCAGTTGTCCCTTGGGCATTGCGGTCATACTCTCAGGTCATTAAGACCATTACTAACCAAATTTCCTTTTCAGGTACCTCTAGAAGAACCCTTTCACGGTGTGGGCAACCGGGAAGTGATAACTACCCTCATATTTCTAACTGCACTCAAGACCATTGTACTATTGAGAAGTAAAGTGTGGTTACTAAAATGAACTGAGTCGCGAACAAAAACAAAAGAATTGGTGGCATAATTGTAACTATTGTATTACTAGATTTCAAATTGTTAGTCATCGAAAATGGAACAACACAATTTCGATATTCTGTGCAAAAATCTTTACAATTACTACACTCAAGAATGTGGCCTAATCAGAAAGAGAATGTAATTCGTGAAACAGCACAATCATAAATTGATTGATGCTAGAAATGTGAGTTACTCAATTCTCATAAAACATGAAAGTTTAAAGTAGGTCATAGAAAGAGTGTAGAGATGACCAAAACCGTTAATTGACAAATTTATTGTATGTTGTGTCTCTACAAGTATCACAAACACAGTTAACTTATATTCATAATAATAATCAAATAAAACAATTACATCAACATTGACTATCATACCTCAAAGTTTTCTTCAATTCGTTTCGGTGTTACAGACTTTGGAACTATTATCAAGTTTCTTTGAATTAAATAACGCAAGAGAACTTGAGCCGGTGTTTTACCGTGATGTTTAGCAATTTGTAAAACCCAAGGTTCCATGAGTAAATCAACTCTTCCTCTAGAAAATTGAAAAATAGATTTTAACATCACAAAACAAGGATGGATAGAGTTAAAAAATGCATGAGACTAAAGACACTATATATCCCCAAAGGCCCTGGTGGGAAGACAATCCGCTCTCCCTCCCGAAATACGCTCACACATGGCTACGCATATACAGCCACTGACAGGGAAGTCATACTCATTGCCTTCTCGCGGCCGCGATGTTGTTTATGAAGTTGAGAGGACGAAAAGTGAATATCCGATGTTTTAATCGGGTCAGTAGATATGAGTGATCCATCTGGGGGAATTGGAAAACCCTGATTCTAAACTAATGATCCATACTGGCTCCAAGATCCTAAGGGAACAAATGGCGTATGAACCAATACTGGTCATCGGCTACCATGAGACTGCATCTCCCTACATTGCTCCACTTCCTTGTGGATTAGACAAAGGCTCAGGGTGTGGTTTTCTAAGAAAACCACTTGCTTCAACGCTCTCAGAAAATTTTTACTCACAACCATTTGTTAACATTCGTTTTTACTTCTTTTGTACTACGCCACTTAAGTATCTCTCTTTATTCTCAATTGGCATATTTTATTTTTCATCGAATACAGCAGCTCGCCTATGGTGGAAATCATTTCCTATCTAAACGATTTCAAGTCACTGACTGGTCAAAGGTTAAATATTACCGCCGACTACGAATATTGAAAGTCTTTCTAAAACCACGAATACCATTCAAAATGGCCACCTTCAACGTTTGTACACTAATGTAGATCGGAGAACAGATAGTGTAATGAACAAGAACACGAATAGGAATAATCGAATGTATTTAACACGAAAATTACAGATTATTTCACTAAAATCTGACAACCATATAGTAAACAGTTAATTTTCAAAATCACAATCAATTGTCTCAATCTTGACTGTTTCTTCTGTAAATATGAGTCTATCTTCTCTGATTTCATTGTTCATGCATTTTCATACCAATTGCGTTCCATTTCGGTTTTTGCCCTATCAATCTTCTAGTGAAGTACATTCTATGCCTGACCATTACCATATACTACTTATATGGATATAAGTAACCCACACCAAAATAGGGTCGGTTGTCTTTAGAAAGTCTAAACATCGATGTCTCTCGTCTATACGAAATCTGTATTCAAGACTCTAATGAAGTACTACAAATTCGCTCTCAATCTGTGACTTCAAAAAGCTTGTTTCAAGTTTTTCCGAGGACCCTATGGCATCTTCATCTGGTCTGGCTGGCGTTGGTATGGCACTAGGCGCCAGAGCTGAGGAAGCACTGACTGATTGGATTCGCATTAACCGTCAGCTATGTGCTGTTTTATTAGAAAAATCCCACAAAGTGCGAAGAAATCGATATGAGAAACGTCTTTTTGTCTTCTCCGCCTACGCTTCGATAGATTGCAGTCCGGATGCGATCAAATATGAGTTTTACTACCACTCAACTGTTTTTCTACAGGAAGTGCATTCGACAAATATTGTAGTACTAACCGGAAACTTGGATGCTCAAGCCATAGACCTGACCTTTTCGAGTTCAGGATGTCAGACGACTTTGTGTTTGATCATCGTTGTCTTCGAAGGATTGTTGACATCCAGTGGCAACACTATATTAGCAATGTAGAGGTACGGCATCGCGTGTTCAGGAACAGCGACGATAATTCAATTAGTGTCACTATATTGAAACAAAGACTCCAGTGGCTTGGAGATGTTCTACCAATGTCGTCCTAGAGAATTCTACGTCGTGCATTATTTTCCGACGCTGAGACTGGTTGGAAAAAACAGAGATGGTCGTTTTACGAAAGAGCGCTGTACAGGACTCGCTTATGTTAGTCCTTCACAACTCCATCTTTGGGGTCCTACAAATGGTAGCTAGAGACGTTACAAGACATGGCTCAGAATAGAAGCCAGTGGAAATCCTGTTGTAACTTTCTTCATAAAAACTTCTTTAAATTAAAGAATTCTTCCTGGATGTATTATTCCCAAATGAACTGTTTCTTTCATTATTATTTCACTCTCATACACTAATTTCTTTTTATTGTACGCACTTTATATTCTCTACCTCTTCGCAACCTCATTGTTGTTATGTTGCGCATATGTATTCGGTTCCCCTTGTACCAATGTTTATGAGTTCAGATAAATTTCATGATACGTAAATATGGTAAGATGAAATAAGGAAAACAATGACATCTAGACTTAGCTCAAACTTCGTGGATTGGTTGATGTTAGACATTAACACCGTTGGATGCCGGCTCAGTGGTCTATCGGCTGAGTGCTCTGGCGCGAGACTGGTAGGTCCTGGGTTCGAATCTCGCGAGGCGGGATTGTGGATGCGCACTGCTGGACCAAACGGCTGAAATCTCTACAACCCCCCCTGACTAACATTAAACATGGTTTAAAAAAAGATAATTAACTCACGGAGAAGCAGCAGGTGAACCAAGTGGAGCATAAGCAGTTACAGTTAAACCAATCGATTGTGCATATTCAACTAATTGTATATTAGGAAAATTAGCATGAATTTCAATTTGTAAATTAGCTGGTTTAATACGACAATGTTTAAGAATATTTTCAATCTGACGTTTGTTGAAATTTGATAAACCAATAGATTTAACTAAGCCATCATCAACCAATTTTTCCATTTCCTTTAAATAAATAGGAACAAGTATATACATGTATTTTAATACGTTAAATTGATTTGAGTTTCAGCCATAGGTCACCATTTAGACACGAAGCCAGGTCATGTAAAACTTTTCAACCGTTCAGAAAAGATCTTTACATTTCACTTATAATAGATATATGATGACTAACTAATGTTTTGACGTATGAAACCAATTTATTAAATACGATATAGTGAGATATTAGTGGCTAGCAGTGGAATCCATGACGTGCGTTTCGTCCTGTTAGGATCTCGTCAAATGGATGTACCTGCATCTCACAGTTAATGTTCACTCTGGGACTCGAACCCAGCACCTTTCGCTTCAAACGCCATTGCGTTATCCACTCGGCCAATGAGTCCTATAGTGAGATATAGTTTAAGCATTACTATTAATGGCTTTATTTAATACTGTATTTTTGACATAACATCGAATTCTTCGCACAAAGTACTACAGTAAGTTTTCGTTTCTTACTTCTTGGTCTATTCTCACGTTAAATATTGAGTGATCACCAGTTAAAAGTTAACAGTTCAGGAATCGACATCTGAATAATGTACATTCTTTTGGCTGCATATTCCCAGCAACCATAATATCTCTGGCTTTTTTGTAACTGATTAGGTTATGCGACTAATAGACATAATGATGTGTTAAAACAAACAAAAACAGATAACTTGTTGAAATATCTAGATGGCAGGAATAGGTAGTTCAGTTATCCAGGAAGGTTGCCAAAGAAAGCATAGACTAACAAAATATGTTCTTAAGTATTAATACATACATATTAAGTAGTGCAAATTAGCAGCAATCGATACGACTTACATATGAATTAAAGATGAACAAATAAACACCAAATTCAGTACTCAAAGTACCGCAAACACAGTATACCACAAAGAGAAACGGGGTAAAAATAACATGTTCTAAGAACTGGAACTGCTATTTAGTCAAAGCGTTGCTAATAAACTATCAGAAACTTTCTAGCGTTGCATATAAACGTGACTTTCTTTTTACGATATATTTCGATGATTATATACCCTGATAAACCGCAAAACGTGGATCAGTGACGTTCAGAGTAACTAAGACTTGCTGAAAATTACAGACTTATGTACGCAAGACATTTCAAACGCGAGTAAACTATTCTAAACTGTCTAATAAAGAATTTCACCAGATAAAAAGAAAGCCCTGAAGTCAAAAATTTCCAGACAGTTTTAAACTTGAGTACTTTACGGCGCTTAATGCTACATTATTCCTCAAAAATAACTTTCCACAAATGTCTCAAATCCATGAACTAAGTTACTCAAACGATGAGTACTTATTTAGTTTGCAATGAATCATACGATATGAGGTATCAAACTACAAATCAGGGATAATAAACTAAACTAAACTGACCATAAACCTTTCAGAAAATTATAGGTTAATCTGTTAATAATTGACGCCTAATTTTTGGATTATAAGTAACGTAAAATTTGAAGCACATGAGGATCCATCCAGGTCGCATAACATTACATCAACAGTGAGAAGAAACCAAAAGAATCAAAATCGGTGCTGAAAGCAGTACAGATTTGCCCACGAACGGCAGAAAGACAAAAAGTGGTAAGTTTATTTTCCGATTAACTTCTATAGCCTAATGGGATATTGTCTCTCGTGAACTAATCACAACTTCGAACATCAGGTAACTTAGAAGATTTTATAGAACAAATAATACGTCGATGAAAAAATGAAAGTTATAAACATTCGTAGTAACATTACTAAACAAACTTGTAGTAAAATTCTACCAGATACTTTCCTTACGTGAGGAATAGAGGACATTGTGAGACTTTTCTATTCAGAAATTGAGTCCACATTGAAGCACTCCACTAAAGTTACTAAAATACAAAGACTACGTGAGTCAGTATACAATTCAGGCACTACAAAACAGAAGTTTGGCAGCCCACTGCAAAAACCGAAGGTACACTAATAGTAAAACTGTGATTATGCGGTTAATGTTATGCTTCCCAGTGAAAACAAATAAAAATACATAAATTTTTAGTACCAACAAACCTTCCAAGTTTCCTCATGTGGTACTTCATCTACACAGAAATTCCCGTTCGAATCAGTGGGAAAAAGACAGTCACCATACTGTAAAATAGGGTTAATATATTGCACAAACTTTACTTGGAATGGAACAGGCCAATGAATTAAGTACAAATCAAGGTATTTAAGACGCAAATTCTTCAAAGTTTCTTCACAGGCTATCCTGACACGCTCAGGGCGGAAAAAAGTATTCCACAGCTAGAAATCATTTAAAGAATATTAAATGAATAATTACCTTAGAAGTAACAAAAACGTCCTCTCTTTTTAAGTTTAGACTCTTTAATGAACATTCCAGCGCTTCACCTATTTCCGCTTCATTTCTGTAGACATAAGCACAGTCCAAATGTCGATAACCAACTTCTAGAGCTTTCTTTACAGCCACTCCAACTTCACCAGGTGGACTCTACAAAGTGTATAGTATTAGAAATTTTTCTTGCGAACATTCCATGTTCCGAGACCAATGATTGGGATAGAACGACCATTATTCATTTTCAAGGACTCCATGATTACGCTGGAAAATAAAATAATGGTACCGATATTTGTGACTGTTACATTATAATTATAAAAAAAGTGGAGGAAAACAAACATTAACAATGTGGAAGCGTTATACATATGGATGTTAGATTTAGTCTACAGGCTTAAATTAATCGGAAACCACATCATGAACACAGAAGAGGTTGACAAATCTCCGCTATATACACTAAAATAACTTTCTATACAAAAGCAGGTCCACAATAAACACAGACTATTTACTGATGAAGACAACGGATTACTAGAATGTGGATTTTTTATTGACCTAGGTGACTGATGCGTGGCCGGGAATGATAATGATTGGTTGTTTTGCTGAGTCATACATGTAGATAGTGTGACAGGTGTTATATGTATTATATATTCCCCTATCATTATTATTGATTGACTGTTCCTTGTTGTTGGACCGTGTCGGATTTCGATGTGGAAATATATTGACATTCTAATCAGGCTAATCTCGTGTTCTTGATATGAGCTGTGTTGAAGTCCTGTAGAATGGACACTGGGTTGGAATCTAGTGTAGATATTCGTCTCAGGTAAATTAACGTCCCACATACGTGTAATAAGTGAAATGATTGTTATAACAAGAAACCCTAGCATTATAACAAGTATCCTACTGTTTATAACACTGACTTTATCATATTTATGTGAATAAATTTTCATCTTGCTCACCCACACATTATTACTTTGAACTAGATTGTGAATTTTGAATATTCATAAGCCTACGACTAGAGTCTGCAATCGTCAATACACTTGGCAAAAAGTAGGTAATTAGTATAACAAGCGGATTGTCATAGATATTTATTTTTTTAAACATAAATATTGGTACAGAGGAACAAATAGATATGCGTAACATAAATCGATTTACGTGGGGGATGGACAGCTGCCCAGACGAAAGCAGATGGTTTTCTTAGAAAATCGCACCCTGAGCCTTTGACCTAAAGGTCTAATCCACAAGACAGTGGAGCAATGTAGGAAGATTCAGTCTCATGGTAGCTGATGATCGACTATTGGTTCATACGCCATTTGTCCCCTTAGGATCTTGGGGTCATTATGGATCATAGAGTTTTCCAATTCCCCTAGGTGGGTAGCTCACATCTACTGACCCGATTAAAGCGCCAGGGATTCACTTTTCGTCCTGTCAATTTCATAAACAACACCGCGGCCGTGGGAAGAATTCACCTAGTTGGACTGGAAAACCCTGATTCCAAACCAACCCTACACATGGGTTCCAGGATCCTGAGAAAAAAATGACGTATGGACCTATCGTTGGTCACCGGCTACCATGGGACTGCATCTACTTACGATGTTCCACTACCTTGTAGATCAGATCTTTAGGTCAAAGGCTACGGATGTGACCCCCTGAGAAAGCCACCTGCTTTGGTTTCGGCACCCGGGCAGAATAACAGCCTTAAAACAAATCAAACGATTTGGGGGGGGCATATGTGTTTGATGCCCCTTCGTAGAAATAATTTTCAAATAAATAAATAAGGTCTGAATAGCAATGCTGATGTGTCAATAGGGCGATGATGGTTTTGAATTCAACAATATCGAGATCACAATTTTCTAACAAACCACCCCGTATGTATTTATATTTACTGCACTTACACGTGATACATTGAGACAATTAAACATATGTAGTAAGTCTGTATGACAACATGTTGAGTTTGAAATCAGGACACATTTATGAATGTCCACTTACTAGGGCTATACCTAACTCACTTATAAATGCGGGTTTTAAACCAGTGTGAAGGATAAGGATTGTAATTTACAGTTGAAAGTTAAAAACAGGTATTATATTTTGGGTTTTCATCACGAACTAACATCAGCTAAAATGTAAAGACACTATTTAGCCAAGTGGACTAAGAATTCCGCGCTGAAATTCAAGACCTGTTATAGTAAATCTGATTGATTCGTCCATAAATTATAGTCTAACCATGTTTAGCCAAGAAGTACGTTATGTCTCAGGAATATACTTACATTTAATAGTGAATGGGATCGACAACAGTATACGGTAGCACGAGTATAAATCAAGAAAATGCAAAAACTCTAACCAACGGGTAGTGTAAAGTTACAAATACTCTACACCGTGAACATGCAAACAAACAAAGTCATTTTTATATATCATATCATGAAACCTAAAAGCCTTTCATAAACTGAATAAAATGTTGAATTCGCCTTAATTATTTCAACTATCCCCTTCAAATTATACTCAGCTGTAGTGTATTATGTTTATACTCTTACACTCAAAAATATGTAATCGGTCGTTTTCAATAAATGACTTATGCTTCTCGTCGAAGCATAAAAAATCCGTTCGTGTCCTCTTTCTGCAGATATTTAGTCTATTGGAGTTAAAATGGGGCAATGGGACAGTCCAACTAACGTTGCAGTCACTAGTAGATGACCATCTCATCGCTCAGTCGGGGAATGATACTTCTGTAGTATTCTTGCAAAAAAAACAGAAGCTTACAAAATAAGTAGTTTAGTTGGATGCAAAACGAAAGGAAAAGCAAAATTCGTAGAACAGACTACCTGTTGCACTTTTCAGTTCTGTGCCATATATTGACCAGTCCCTGTTAGCCATTCTTGACCTTAATGATTCATACCGGACAGTTCGATATCTATTGATCTGTCCTTCGACAGAGAAGTTGATCAGTTTGGTGGATGATCCGGTCTATTATGGTGAAAAATACAGGTAGCTAAACACTCATCAGTCGGTTTCGGTTTGCAAGCTTCAGTTTTGGAGGTATAGAAGGTAGCTCACGTAGCTTTGTTGAATGTACGTGATATTTGATACCTCGAAGACCCTAACTGAGCTGATTCAATCTTTGACATGCTTAATCTGTTTTCTAGGTTAAACTGTTCAGAGCAGCTATCCTCCAAGGTGAAGAAGCAATTAAAAACATTAGACCAATGGTTTTCTAAATACATAAGATCTACTTATTCTGAAGAATGAGAGCATTCAGTAACACTATATGATGACACGAGTTTTATAATCTTGACAACCTGATATTCAGAACTGAAAATTGACACAGTGTGGTTTCGAATGGGCAACGAGTTCAAATACTGTTGCACAATCTATTTTAATATGTTCTCCCAAGTAAAGCGCTCCATGTACGTTTTTCCTAACCAATATTCCCTTTTTCGCCGTGATATCTTTTCCTGCTTCTACTTTTAACGGTATGTGTGAAAACAATGAAAAGCATATGGCTAATTTCTTCGCAACAGAAATTGGCGTTCATAGCAAATAAAGAAGTAATTCCGCTTCCTCAGAATAAATTAAGTCAATCGGTCTGGTAGAAAGAATCAAGATTATGAACACCCAATATCCCGGCCTCCGGAAAAGCGTCACGTAAAGCAGACTTCGAACGATCAGCAATAATGAAAAACGACATCAAAAAAGCGCCCTTAACCAAAACTCGCGGCCAAAGCAATAATAGTGGCTTCAAATCAGCCAGAAGACATACATGTTAGATATGAATGGATGTCAGGGAAGTGACTGTGTATATAGGGTGGAATGTAGCACTCTGGCCACACAGAGTTATATGTATAGGAACTTCCAGATACGCTGGTAGACACACACGAGCACGTAAAATGATGCCATGGAGTAGTCGCCGAATTTTAGATTAGCAGCTTTTAAATATTTACGTACTGTGATAGCATTTCACTCCACTATATATTCGTTAACATATAAGGTTCAGAATGACAACATCGTACTTGAATGTCTATCACACTTCTTCAACCAATAAAAATTTGATAGAACTTACATGGTGACGGAACGAAAGGTCTTTTAAATTAATTTAGTCCCTGTTCTCGTCATACTGCGTAATGATGGCTCATTCAATTTTGTCTATTTTCCAATTGCTCGCCAGGTCAAATAAAGTCACTAGGGAGTTGATAATTAACTAAATCTCGAGGATGGAAATAGTTACAATCATTAGACTGCTCCATAATGATGACAACAACTATTTTTATTCCTAACAATCCAAATACATGCCATTATACAGGCACAATCGGTCGTGTATGTCATGAGTGCAGAAAATATCCTGGTGTTCTGGCTTGAGTTGCTCAGTTGATGCAGCGTGTTAAGTTTACCAATATTCGAGAATCTAAATGTGTAGCTTCCCGACTGGACACATTCTAAAATCCACTGGATGTGGAGTAACTACTTACAATGCAGACTTTGTTTTGACTAAAATCTATAAATATCGGAGTGTTTCGTACCATACTTCACATTAGTTAGAGTAAGATTTCTTTCCAGTTGTCTTCAGTCATCAAGCGTGTGACCTAGGGGTTTAAGTACTCGAGTGTCCAAGTTGTTCGCGGTATAGCAACAATTCAAGTTGTAGACATAACACTATGAAACTCATTATTATTACTCCTCCAATAAAGTTATAAGCTGATTGACCATTGTTACTGGCATAAAATGTTTTGATGAAACATTATGATAAAACCCACGCTATTCCAGCTTCCCTAGCTCTATTTTAGGCGAGTTTTTTCGAAAACTAAATGATGAACAGTTTTAGGTATTTAAATGAGGTGAATGATGTTTTTGCCATTACTAATACTGATTGTCGAGAAATTGTTAAGAACTTCGAAATTAACCACCTTCATATTTCAATTAGACGTATAAATTCTCTACTCATAGTGATCGTTGTTACTAACAAACGATTATAACTCCGTTTGAGTGACCCTGAAAAGCCCAGGGTTCCAGACTAAGTGTTAGTATGGGTCCTATGTTTATTCAGATGGTCTACTGCCTTCCTTACTCACTACATTGTTTCATCTTGATTCACGAAGCATCGATCATCTTCCAGATTATTTGAATGTTTTCACTTTAAAAGTGAATATTATTGGGTCCCAATTATAAGGAATCACTATTGAAAAGTTAACACAACACCCCAGCTCACCATTTCTGTGGAGAGTATGGCAAGCAGAAGTGTAAATTGAAGGGACGTGATCCCGTACCATTAGTTTTCTAACTTTTATTCGAATGAATATTCCAAATAAACTAAATGGAACAATTTTCGCAAAAAAAGGATTTCATCATTTCACATCATTAGTTCTTATCATGTGAAAACAGCCTATGGTGTAAGAAAAAACAATAACGAATTGGTGTGCGATATGCTAATGCCTAACATGAACATGAACGAACGCGATAAATTCGTGCACTTAGTAAAATATTGCTGAACTCTTGCCATGTTATCCGTCAAGCCGAGGGAGCTTTTACCTTTGGAAGATTGATCACTGAACGTCGAATATCTAGGGAAACCTCGCCAAAGACAAGGATTACTAATGTAGACTGGTCAACAGTAAATGTGG